ATGTCTTGCTCTGACTTACTAAACCGAAAAATCCCAAGTTCAAACCCCCATGGCTCGATAGCTGGGGACAGTCTCCATCTAGGAGAGATAACTCAAAAATCTAACAACTGCCGGCTTGTAGTTTGTTCTTGGTTGAACAAAGGCTATAGAAGCAAATCTAGAAAGAACAGCATGCTGAAATAGTAGACAATGGCCAATACGCGCATAACGTTTTGACATGTAATTGTGTCGGAGTAAATCCCCTTCAAGAAAACAATTAAGAACAAAGAAGAGGAAAACATTTCACAGAGAAGTTTAATACACGCTTTACAAAACCAGTAACGTTTAGATTTACAATTGTTCTGTGTTCGGGAACCCAATAAGTTTCAACAAGCGTTCAATAATTCAAATAAAGGTCATAAATGAACAACCATCTGATGAAAACATGTGTCATAAATGAACAAACATCTGATTGAAAACATGTGTCATAAATGAGCAACCATCGGATGAAAACATGTGTCATAAATGAACAACCATCTGATGAAAACATGTGTCATAAATGAACAACCATCTGATGAAAACATGTGTCATAAATGAACAACCATCTGATGAAAACATGTGTCATAAATAAAACAACCCTCCGAGGGTTGTCAACAATTTCCTCCCCAACCTGTTACATCCACAAGTGTTGTTTGCGATCATTCAAGTACTGACACCCACAAGCCAACACAAAGATTCAATACTTGTGTTATCTCCAACCTACTCCAACAACTGTTGTGAATGTAGCACACGATTGTTTATTCTTCTAAGATATTTTAGATATATTAGAATGTCTCCCCATATAAAAAAAAGCTCCATCAATTATTGTGGTCTGAATAGCCTTGCATCCGTTTCAACATTTACATACTTTCCACATAGTTACAACAAAAAGAGTTGCATAGAAATAATTTCTAAAAAAAACGTGTACGTTTCATCTAGTCTCCCCTTACTCTCAACCCCGGTTATTTATATAAGGAATTGAATACAATAAAATTTAAAACAGTTACTTCACTCTGAAGTAAATAGAAATAATACAAAATAACAGACCTTAGCTCTTTACTTTTCCCTACAGCAGATTAACTCCTAAACTATGCCCGTGTGTTACCTCTGCTCTGCTATAATTTAGCAACTATATTAGCTCTGCCCAACTCCACCATATCTTTTAATCACTGCCATTATCAAAGCCTTGATATCATTGTAGGGCTGTAATGAAAGATTATTTAAGCTGTGATTAAATTAACCCTTATCCCAGCCATATTCCAATTTTAGTGGCTTTGACCACAGGTAGTTGAACACAGAGGGGCTTGTACCCTAGGGGCTTTATCCATTGATGGTTTGTCCAGCAAAAAAAAATAACAAATGTATATAATGTTATATTACAAGTTTAATTTGAGTTAACATTAATATAAATTAACATTTACTAGAGAAAAGTCAATAACATTTATTTTAGTCCACATAAAGGCTGATGCTCGTCCTGGCAGATGTATTAATTAATGTAAATTGAACACAGTGAGACAAGTCAAAAAGTGTTGTTGTTTTTTTTTTAAATTATGTAAATTTGTTTTAAAATAAGTAACACACATGATAAAAAAGCATTCCAAAAATATAGTAATAAAAGTTATACTTTTATTGCTAACAGATGTGCACTAGCACACATATATATCAGTACATCCGTTTGAGCATTTGACTGAACAGCACGTCGTACTTTTTCAAGCAGCATCCTGTTGGAAACCTTGAATTTAAACATGATCAATAATTAAATTATGAATTCATGCCGCACGTTAAAATATAATTACGCAAATTTGTATCTATTGTTAAGTTAATTTATACCGTGTATGGACAAACCCACGCTGTGGTCAAAGTTCCGCTGTGCCTAAAGCACCCGTGGTCAAAGTTCTGCTGTGCCTAAAGCACCCGTGGTCAAAGTTCTGCTGTGCCTAAAGCACCCGTGGTCAAAGTTCTGCTGTGCCTAAAGCACCCGTGGTCAAAGTTCTGCTGTGCCTAAAGCACCCGTGGTCAAAGTTCTGCTGTGCCTAAAGCACCCGTGGTCAAAGTTCTGCTGTAGTCAAAGCACCCGTTGTCAAAGTTTTGCTGTAGACAAAGCACCCGTTGTCAAAGTTTTGCTGTAGACAAAGCACCCGTTGTCAAAGTTTTGCTGTAGACAAAGCACCTGTGGTCAAAGTTTTGCTGTAGACAAAGCACCTGTGGTCAAATTTTTGCTTTAGACAAAGCACCCGTTGTCAAAGTTTTGCTGTAGACAAAGCACCCGTGGTCAAAGTTTTGCTGTAGACAAAGCACCCGTGGTCAAAGTTCTGCTGTGGACAAAGCACCTGTGGTCAAAGTTCTGCTGTGGACAAAGCACCTGTGGTCAAAGTTCTGCTGTGGACAAAGCACCTGTGGTCAAAGCCCCGATGTAGACAAATCACCTTTGATCAAAAGTCCGAGGTGGACAAAAGATCTATGGCCGAACCACCTATGGTCAATGCCTCAATGGACAGTCAATGCACCTGTGTTCAAAGCTTTGAGTACCCTTATTCCTTAACCAGATGCAGGTTGTATTTGTATACCCGATTATAGTTGTATTCCTTATCCTAAGCTTTATCCCCACATTATTTTCGCTTTATCCACACTGGCTTGGCCTAAAAAAGGTTAATGCTATACTTTTTGCCCTGTGGGTCATCATTCATGTATTTGCTAATTTTTAATCTGCCTTTCGACTCTTCTCACGCAAACACGAATTTTCAGACAAATCTTCCTCCTCAAGCCTGCGCTGTGAAAACTCAAAGCACACACACCTACACAGAAATTCAAGTCACACACACCTACACAGAAATTCAAATCACACACACCTTCGCATAATTATGTTAATAACATGTGTGGAAGGAACTTTATTTTTACGAAAACATTATTTCATTATGCATTTTAAAAGGCGATCAATTCAAGTCATCTGACAAAAATAAGCGAAAAACTTAGTTTAAATTGAATGAAGTTAATGAACAAACGTAAATTTGAAAATGTAGGGTCTATGTAAAACAAAATTTGTTAATCTTAACAAGAATGACTCATCATTAATTAAAATGACGTGACCAAATTAATTGTAATCAACATAATAAGATGTATATTTAAATGCGAGACCTTGGGCATTCGCCCACACGTCTCCTATCTGAACTGAAGACCTTGTTGCATCAGAAGCCCCTCCCCCTCCCCTATCCTCCCCCACCCCTATTCTCCCCCACCACCCCCTGTCCTCTCCCACCCCCTAGGCCCCTCCCACCCCTATCCTCCCCCATCCCTATCCTCCCCCACCCCTATCCCCCCTATCCTCCCCCACCCACCCACCCCCTGTCCTCTCCCACCCCCTGGCCTCCCCCACCCTCTGTCTGGAGGTTTGAACTACAACAAGCGCCATGTCAGCAGGTTGACTACATTGCTAGTCATATATGCAACAAATGTTTGAACGCTCGCTTCTGAATGAAAATACACCGGTGACACGTGTTCTTTGTTTCAAACGATAAAATAATTGATAGCCATCTGCTTGATAATTAATATTGTTACATCAAGCATGCTTTAATTGAAGCTAAGAGTTCACTCGAGTAGAGACGCGCATATAATTATGCAATGTTGGAATAATTGCCTCCAATAGTTCAACAGGTGCTAAAGTAAAACATGGATGGACAATATTTTATCAATATTATTTTAGACAGGAACTGTGTATACTTGTCAAATATTTAGACACGAATTGTATATAGGTCTACTTGCGAAATATTTAGACACGAAATGTATATACTTGTCAAATCTTTAGACACGAATTGTATATAGGCCTACTTGTCAAATATTTAGACACGAATTGCATATAGGTCTATTTGCGAAATATTTAGACACGAACTGTATACACTTGTCAAATATCTGTTTGTATAACAATATATAATTGTCAAATATTGTTTAGACAGTAAGTGTATGTCATCATCTCTCAGCAACCATTGGCGCATGAGGCATAAACAATTGAGCACCGTTTCGTCCTTTCTCTAGCTAGAACCTCTGCCTGTCGAAATGTTAGGCCTCTCTCCTTCAACACTTTTTCCATTGATCTTCTCCATATTTCGTTTGGCCGTCCATGTTTTCTCATGCCCTGTGGTGTCCATCAGAGAACCAGTCCTAGCCAATGCGTCTGGTCTCATTTGTAGCACATCGACTAACCAGCTCAATCTTCTATTTCTGAACTGCTGATAACGGTTGAATGAGTGTCTTCTTTTTAACTTCTCGTTAGGGATAATGTTTGGATAAAAGATTCTAAATATTTATAGAAAGCACAACTTGTTAACTTGTCCTAAAAGCTTCTAGTTGCATCTCAATCGTTTTTGCCATACAGTAGTTCTTAAATTAAGCACATACATTTTAAATATGCGTTCTTTGGTAGTTAATCTTTCTAGATTTCCATATATTAATTATCATACCAAAAAGAATGAACGTGGCAATGGGACCTCACAGTTAATGTACAGGCTAGGTGATAGACCATCAAATGATGTCAGCACTTTAACCATCTGCTACGATACCTCCCAGGTTGTATATAGTATGTTATTTTAACGTTAGAGGGCAGGATATGTGCTCTTCACATAGCCCAAATACCACTTGTGTAGACATAACTACTTACACACATGAATATACACCATCATCCTACCGGTGAATCTCTTTTTATGTTTGTTTCTAAATGCCATCACTCAGTCAGAACCCATTTATAATTGCTTTAGTATTTTCCTTTTAATACGTCATTGGTCCAACTTTATATTATAACAACAATATACGTTTGTGATTCGTTCAAATATCTACATTTTACAAAATTATTTTTAGGTGGAAATATTGATCCGCCCCTTCCATTCACTTGAGTCGCCCCCCCCCCCCCACCCTTTCCACAGATGAGTCACGTTATATTATGGTAATTATGAAACAGCTCTTCAACTGCAGGTATAAAAAGCAACTGAGCCGCCACTTTCTCACTTCAACTCCCAGGTAAGACAAACATTGTAGTCTTGTTGTTTAGCTTTTGTTGGGTTTGTACAAAGTGGGTTTTGTTCATGGCGAGTTGTTTTGGCATACGAGAAATCAAACATTGTATGGTTATTTGGTTGGTTTTGTACAAAGTGGGTTTTGGAGGAATCAAACATTGTATGGTTATTTTGTTGGTTTTGTACAAGTGAGTTTTTGGAGGAATCAAACATTAAATGGTTAATTTGTTGGTTTTGTACTAGTGTGTTACGGAGGAATCAAACATTGTATGGTTATTTTGTTGTTTTTGTACAAAGTGGTTTTTGTTCAATGCGAGTCTACTCATGCTTAAGTGAACACACCTAATGACGGCGTGTAACTTTGTTTAAATTAAAACAATGAAAGTGCTAATAAATATAAATGCCAACTTTGTTTGAATATAAAATCATAAAATGAAGTATATATGTTCACTCTCAACGAAACATGCATTTATTCGTCATATTTGAATGAATTTGTTTTAATGCATGGCATCTTTCGATGGTCTTTAAAGTCAATACGTGAATACACTTTTTTTAAATACGTTAATGCATATTTTCACTGGTTTTAATCTTTTTTTGTAGTGAACACACAACTTAGTTCACGAGAAATTCTTTCAGAGATAGGCCTATGTGGTCTGAGATATTTTGTCTGAGATGTTTTATCTGAGATATTTTTACTTAGATGTTTTATTTGAGATATTTTGTCTGAGATGTTTTATCTGAGATATTTTTACTTAGATGTTTTATTTGAGATATTTTGTCTCAGTTAACCGGTTTGAGACATTTTGTAATATACATTTTATCTGAGATATGTTGTCTCATTTAATAGTTCGGAGATAATAGTCTGGTATATTTTCGCTGAGATATTTTGTGTGAGATCTTGTTATGACATATTTTACCTAAAATGTTTTTGCCTGAAACATTTTGTCTGAAATAGTTTTCCTACTGGTACAACGCTAGACTTGTAACACAAAAGTCTCATGTTCGAAACCGGGTTCAGTCGGTAGAATATCCCTGAATCGACCCAGCTCTCTCGGGCAGATGAGGCTCGTTAGCAGGGGACGGCCACTCTTCTAGGAGAGATAACTCCAAAATTAAACAACTGCTGCCTTGTAGTTTGTTCTTGGTTGGACAAAGGCTATGGAAGCAAATCCAAAAAGAAAAGCAGGCTGAAATCGGAGTCAATGGCCTCAATGGCGCATAACCAGTTGACACGTATCCTTAATTGTGATGGAGGCGTGGTCGAGTCGGCAAAAAGCTCATGGTTGATAAATTCGAAACAAGTCTCGAGTTCAAACCCTCTGGCAGATAAGGTTCGATCCCTTCCAACACTAAAAATTAAGAACGAAGAAGAAGAAGAAGACCCAGCTCTGATGGATAGTTCTTCACGTTAGGGAAATCGTAAGTGACTGGGCATAGTGCTGACAACACTATCCCTTCAAATTACGTCACAGAAACATGTGAACTCTACTTCACTTGCCCTATGGACCGTCAGGCTCGAACAGGGAGCTTCACTTTTTTTTAACACGTTTTTCTTAACTTAGCTTCGCGTTTGTTTGTTTGTTGTTAAATTTGACAACGAAAATCAGCCCACTTCTGATTTCTCTAGAGATCTGAAATTCGGCATGCAGGCTATTTTCGCCTACAATTTCAGATGCAATCATAAAAACTAGCAATTAGAGACCTAAATTAGCTTAATTAAATTACGCCCCAAGGACCATATAATTGAGGACATGATTTCTAAAGATGCCGACAAGACTGGAGGCCTATTGACACAGTTACTTCGGCCCCAATCGATACATTTGAAGACAAAAAACGTGGGTCGGGCAGATTTATGATTAAAGCGAAAATCACACAACACAAGAATTTTGGAAATTTGATGGTGAACGTACCCACGTTTTTTGTCATCAAATGTATGAACACTCATCACAAGAACCTGCACAGCTCGAGGAAGCACAAAATCTACGAGCAGTCATTGGTAGATCCCCTAGGGTCGGAAGAAAAATTTATTTTCTACTTTTTAGTCCACAAGAAAAACGTGTTGTTTTTTTTTAATTTTTTTTTAAAGTATTTTATTTACTCTTTAGATATTTAGATATATTCATTTCAGTTATCTTACCAGCCCTGAATAAACTTTGAAACCTTTGTGACAACAAGACATACATGATGAGAGGACAAGACAGTCTCATGCAGCTGTTGGTGGTGGTGGCTGTTGTATCACTGGCCGGAGCTGCAGTAACTACCACTTCCAAAACAATTAAGCCACCAAAAGGTAGCTCATGTTTATATCTTGTCACTTCTAAGAGAAAATAATGTCTTTTAAATCGATGCATGGAGGTGACGAGATAAGCAGAGACTACAAAAATCCACATGCGTCTTGATCTAAAAAAAATGTCTTAAATTAGTTTAAACATAATAATCCAATGAATCACAGAATAATCTGAAAAAGTACAATGAACGAAACTTTTAATTTTACAATAATTTTGACCTTATGTTCTATAAAACAGACAAATCACATTTGTTTAAATTTCTTCTCACACAGGAGGCGTCTGTAAATGTCCTTTGGCCAACAGACAGAATCTGCCTTTTTGTGACCTGAATTCACGTTACTTTTTGGGCAAGCGCTCATGTTGCGACCCAAATAGCAGTGATAACGAAAAGGGAAAATACTATTGCATTTTCAATGATGGTCAGTATACATCTTTTTGTGTTTTATGGACACCTATGTTATATATATATATATATATATATATATATATATATATATATATATATATATATATATATATATATATATATATATATACGTGTGTGTGTATATTTATGGTTGCAAACTTGTCGTCAGATGAATGCCCTTATAATATATATATATATATATATATATATATATATATATATATATATATATATATATATATATAATGAGAGAGAGAGAGAAATGAAGCTACTCCAATATAATTGGCACTCGCTACCCTTTAATATTACCGAGGGCGTCAATACTTGTACAAATACAGTATCCAGGGAACCCTAAATCTTACCATTGTACCTCTCTCTCTATCCAGACAACAACTGTGAATGTGTGAACGTCCCAGCCGTTGACTACTGCTACGAGACCAAAGGCACATATCAGGTGAAAGAAGAATGCTGTAACGGGCAAAACCCCAAAGGTGCAAAATACAAATGTGCTTATGAAGGTCAGTTGTTGTTATATTTCTTTCTTTATTTTGATTTATTCCTTTTTTGTTTGTTTTTTTTTTTGTTTGTTGTTTGTTTTTTTTTAAGCTTTCAGATACAGAAGAAGCAATTTTATTTAAATAAGATAAAATTTGTCAAAAAAAATTTAACGCATTTAAGAAAATCTTCGCATTGTGTTTGCATCTTTTAAAACTTTTTAAATAAAAACATTAGTTAACAAAAGTTTCATTTGCTGCATCACCCACAATAGTGTCTATAAAAGTGACGTAATTTTAAATAATTGCCTCGAGTTACAAACATTTTTAAATTATTTTTTTTCTGGAAGCCACAGCTAGCCAACATCTTGAAATCTCAAAAAAAATAATTTACATTTTCAACGAACACTTTATTCGTTTCTAATGTAGGCTAAATCAGAAACAGAATGTAAAAAAAATTACCCTTCGAAATGTTTAGTTAATTTAACGCTGCTGGATGAGTATAGATCACATTAAGTCGAGTGGGACCACCACACGCCATTGTTACAAGTTTGTTTATTTTTTTTGTTGCTGTTGATTATTTTTGTTGTCTCGTGTGTATTTGATTTGATATATTGCTCAAATAACATTTTTAACTGAAACTTTTCTTTCCCCGATAGTTGTCGCCACGACAAAACCAACCCCAACCACTCAACCAAAGAAAGTTTAAAACAAGGTATGTATTGTTTGACATGTTGTCTTACTCGGCAGTCAAGTGGTATAAGCTAATGCACGTATTGCAATTATTTTGTTGATATATTATGCAATGGTTTTGATGTAGAACTTCAAGATAAATTTAATCATTTTCACCAATTTAAGCATTTTACTTAAAAGCGTATGCTTACAACAAAATTATATATAGTGTTAAGCAGATAGTGAAACCGACTTTTTACAATGTTAAAACAGATGGTAAAATAGGTTAAGAGATATTTGTGCGTGGAACAGTTGTTAAACCGGATGTCAAATCAGATGTTAAAATGGATTTTAAAATATAGTTGTTTTTTTTTAACTTGTTAAAATAGATGTTAATCAACTGTTAAAACATACAATTTTTAGACCTCGACAGTTTTAATATATCATTGTGGGTAAAATAACGAAGTAGTAATACTACAATATAGAATTAAATCATTTAATTACTTTACAACTAATATTCTAATATTCCTATTCAGCCCAATTATCTTCTTCTTCTGGGTGAGAAATCAAGGACCCAATACCTAAGAAAAAAGCTTTTGACCAATGTTTGGTGGAAAATTAATTAGTTAATGCCTTTTTTTAATGTTTAATGTCGCCAATAAAAGTGTAGCCTTAATAACGTTTTAGTATTTTCTTTGTCGTCCTGTTCATGCATATTTCAAGAAATTTTATAATTCAAAATTTTAATTCAACATAAAATTTGAACCTTTTAAGATACGGAATAAGTATCTTAAACCTTGGCTGTTTGGAAATGGACCCAAGCGAAAATAGTCTCGAAAGTATTCGAGAGGTCCATTAAATATTTTTAAAATGTAAAATGTGTGTCTGTAAACACGATAACTTGAGTACCGTTACAGCTTGGTTGATGAAATTTCATAAACAAATATTATATCAAATTTTGTAGTTCTGTATCAACTTCTCAGCAATCTCCGGTAAACGGAAGTGGAACTTATTCTATTTTCAATTTTTCAAAAGCCTATAGCTTGAGTACAGTTTCAAATAAATAAATGAAATTTCACATGTAAGTAAAAGATCTAATTCTCTGCCTTCTGTCAAATTTTGAGTTATTTCCATTTACCGAAAGTAGTAATTTACGTTATGTCCGATTTCTCAAAAAATGCATGTAAATTTATTTATAAAGAACTAATAATATTCCTCACTATTATACACATTGTTTGGCGTTTACTTGTTTAATTCTTTTTTTCTACGAGATTCTATTCTATTTTTAAAAAGTTTAAGTTATTAAAAATGGTTTAAAAATTATGTCTATATCCCGAGTCTATATTCCCCATAGTGTTATATAAGAATATTCGAGAAAGTTTATGGGAAATCACTCCCGGTTTATTTTTTTGCACGATTACAATACTATACTTCGTATCCGAGAAAGTAAAAATTAATCAATTGTTGCATCTTCAGAAAAAATTGATATATGTAGGTATATCTTAAAATTATTCTCAGTTCTACTAGAAAGTATATAGGTTATCTTGGCATATTTCTTTAATAAGATATGTTCAAGTGTATGATGGGGTAGTGTGTTTAAGAAGTTATTTATTGAGGTATGCCTACATATTATCGTTATATATGTAGGTATATCATAAAGACACTGTGTTTAATAAATATATATGTATGTTGCTATATATAAAGTTCGGTGTGTAGCTAAATAGTTATTTTAAAAATAAACATGTTAATCAACTTGAACAGATTGTGAATTTTTTCAACACGGCACAAATCATACCGTTTATGAAATCAATAAGATTAAAACCACAGTGTGTGCATAAATTAGATGATGTTATGCATGTTCTTACCAGCTGTTTATTGACGAGTTGACAAGCAAATTTTTGCACTAAGACGATAGGTTTCGATGTCCATATGAGTCAATATATATATATATATATATATATATATATATATATATATATATATATATATATATATATATATATATTAATATATAAAAGCCCATATGCGAACTTCTCTCTCTTTCTCTCTGTCCGCAACACTTTTTAGGCTATGTGATCAGCGATAAATGAAAAACGTCTGTAAATGAAAACTTAGAGATATGGACTTTTGTTGAAAATAGTATTTTGAGTGTTTTAAATGTATAAACTAAATGTTATTTAAAGAATGAAAATAAAAATAAAGACATATTCGATTGTAGAAACACATTTTTAATTATGCAACCGAAAAGTGTTTATTGTCGTGACCTAACATTACGTAATTGGATACAACGCAGTGCAGTATATTTTTAAACAAACACAGCAAAATTGTAAGTCGCAAAACAGTTGACGCATATAGTTTTTTAATGTAGAACATTGTAATATAATATATGGACAGGTTTATTTAATCGCATTTTGTATTAATAGACCAAAAGTAATTATTTTCTATTTCTATAAAAGTAAATTATAAAATACGAGCCGACCCGCTGCGTATCATACGCCGCTATTTAGTTGGTTTTTTTTTCTACTTTTCAGTAATTTATAATTTGTGAATTCGACAGTACCAATGCTGCCACTGAAAATATTTGCTTAAAAACACTAAACCCCCCCTTCCCCCCCCCCCCCCCCACGTGAAAGCAGCCTCCTCTTAGTTACCTCCTCTAAGTTTAAAATCGTTTCAAACTAAATTATCTGCCCCTAATAGCCGTCACCAAACCCGTCTCTATGATTGTAAAATGTAAACAGCGTGACCACAACTCACCAGACAATGTGGTAGTGATAGTGATAGAGAGAAAGAGAGGGGACTGCAAGGAGGCGCTTGCAGCTTGTTTTCCAACGGCTCCCAGAAGAGAATTATATATATAGATTTATGAAACCTAAAGAAAGAACTAAAAAAATCCATCCATTCTGTTTCAATGCTTAAATACACCATTTGTAACTATATAATAATAAGTTTCTTTGATCTCGCCGTTACTTTCCCTAACGTGAGTTAGGTACCCATCAGAGTTGGGTGGACTCAGGGACGGTCTACTGACTTGAACCCGGATTCGAACTCGAAACTTCGGGTTAACAGTCAAGCTCTCTACCGCTAGACCACTCCGTCATTTGTAACTATACTCGATTCTTTTTATTTTTATTTTGGTGTAGTTACAAGTCGCCTTAAAATTTGTTAGAATACTGTGTACCATTACAGAGAAAAATGTTTAAAATTTAGAAAGTTTAATACTCTGTACCAATTTTAATATGGGAAAAAGTAATTTAAATCAAACACTCATCATACACTAAAGCTGTCAAAGATTTTACTTAATATATTCAGCATGTTGTTGATTCGACGTTTGATATTTAATAACGCATAACGTGTTAGCATAGAAAGGTACACATACACTATACATATTAGCAGAAAGTTTTGCGAGACGTATGTTTAAGCGGACATTCTCAATGTTTCTGATGTAAACAATGGTTGACCCCTACGTTTTCTCTTCGTTTTCCAACAAATGAACATGTTAGATTTGTAAGATGTAACTTTCTGCTGATGAAGGACCACTCTGTATTAACAACACTCATTTTATTTCAACTGAGTTACTTCCCTTGCAAAGTTATAGTTTCAACCATTTCCCCTCGTATAACAGTGAAGCCAGTGTACTGTAGCGCTTTGAATCTTCATGTACTGTGTGTGTAATAATATCTCCACTACTAAAACTCTGCTATGTTTACAAGTTTGTATATTTACTTTTCCTTTTATTTTGTCTGTTCTGCTAAATGAGAGCATCTGCACTATTTATAGCGCTGTAAATAACGTATTTGCGTAGAGAAAATTGTTCTTTTTTCCCCGAACGTTATTACAAATTTATTTAAAGACGATAATTAATTTATTAATATATTCATGTGTAGAAAAACCCCTTTGATTATAAAAGTTCAGAACAAATACTTTATTTTCACAAAAATTTAAAACTTTCACCTGGAACTATGGTGACGTCACTTGAAACCAAAAGAAATTTATCTAAATGAAACGAAACGTATACCGATCAACTAGATTTAGATTTAAGGCTAAACCAAAACTCATTAGTTAAAAATAAAACAAGTATAAAAACCCGACAAATAACTGAGTTTCTTATTAAACTATTATATTCCTTAAATATTTGATATCTTCTTCTTCGTTCTTAATTTTAGTGTTAGAAGGGGTCCCCTCCAACAAAATTAAATATGCGTGTCAATTGGTTATGCGCCATTGAGGCCATTGACTCATTTGGATTTGCCATTTGGATTTGCTTCCATAGCCTTTGTCCAACCAAGAACAAACTACAAGGCAGCAGTTATTTAATTTTGGAGTTGTCTCTCCTAGAAAATTGGCTGTCCTCATTTGCCCGAGGGTTCGAACTCGAGACTTTTCGGTATAGCAACCATGAGCTGTACCGTAGACCATCTGATTCGAGAGTACAATGTATTTATCTAGCGTGAAAGAGATCTAGAATCTAGGCCAATCCCTAAAGTAAACACACGATAAAAATTACAATTATAACAGGCCTTAAATATTGTATATAAACATTTGAGGGGGGGTAGCAATGGAACTGGCTAAATGAGGATATTATTTAATTTAAAATAATATTCTCTTAATTTAACTTTCTTGCGCTGGCTAAAGTAAAATACGTCAATACATTTTCAGGCAATGGTATGTGCACAGCTGGTCGATATGATAGTTTAGTAGTGAATATGTGGGTGGTACGGGTTCGAAACACATCATTTCAATGCAAAATGTTGTTGTTTTAATTTTCCCTCCTAGAAAATGCACAATGGTAAATCACAACACACGCGATTGGTTCTAATTCATTATTATTAATTTGACGTTACCTTTAATAATTTGTTCATATATTATTTATATGAGGTTCCAGCTCAGGATATAGAAAAATCGATTTTTTAAAAAGACAAAAACATGTAAGGTGAGGTATGACTTCAATTTAAATGTGAATGATAATGTTGTCTTTCGAGACTAGGTGGGACACGGGCAGGCGAAGTAGAGTTTATCTGCTTCTGTGAAAAACAAAAACCACCGATTCGATGCTCCGTGTAGCATACAGCGTTGTAAATTTTTAGAAAAGTGGCCTTCGCTCATTTTGTGTGGTCTTCTGTTTATTTCACCTTTAAAAAATCAAACATTGTTTTGCTTTCTTTGTTAGGTTTGTACAAAATGCGTTTTGTTCAATTCAAGTGGTATTCTGCTTCATTTCACATTCGAGAAACCAAAGATTGTGTTATTTCACTGGTTTGTTACATGAACAACCATATGATGATAACACTGGCAATTAATGAACAATCATCTGGTGAAAAAAGTGGCCATAAATGAGCAACCATCTGATGAAAACATGTGACATAAATGAACAACCCTCTGAGGGTTGTCAATAATACCTTACCCAACCTGTTACATCAACAAGTGTTGGCTGCGATCATTCAAGTGTTTAGATGCATACGATATCACAAAATGTAAACAATTGTTTCTGTGTTAACTGCAAGCTACTTCAACAATTGTTCTAAATGTAGAACATGATTGTTTATTCTTCTCCATTATTTCAGGAATGTCTACCCACATAAAACAGCTCAATCAATTATTGAGTTCTGAACTGCTTTGCATCCGTTTCAACATTTGCATATTTTCCACATAGTTAAAATGCGTTGTATAG